CGCCCAGTATTTCATACAAACTAACAGTTAGATCTAGGGAATCGAGTAGATTCAATAGTGAGGTTAAGATTGACTGCTGAAGTCCTTTTTTTAATGTAATCATGTAAACGTGAACATAACTTGGGTATTAGATTGCGTTAAGAAATTATTGCTAGCTTTTTAAAGGTGTAATTATGTATTACATAATGGTATTGTGCTTAGGTAGAGTAAAAATCCTTATCTGGCATACAGTAACGTGGATGGATTGCAACACATTATGCTCAATGAAAAAAGTCAGACCCATACTGTATGATTGCATTTGCGTGGAACATTCTAGGACAGGCAAAACTACTCCAGACTGATAAAGAGCAGATCAGTGGTTCCTTGGGGCTGAGGGTGAGGATTAATTGTAGAAGGACATGAGCGAACTTTTAGGGGAGATGGAAGTATTTCACATCTTGATTATGGTGCCTATTACTTGGGTATATACATTTGTCAAAACTAATTGAATCATGCCTTTTAAAAGGAATGTGTTTCATTGTATGGAAAGAAAGACGTGTTTTATTGTAAATAAAAGCGATTTTAGAAGGAAAGAAAGCATTCTAGGATAAGAAGAATCCATTCAAAATGGCTACAAAACTATAATACACCTATAATATACCTATACTTATAATATACTATATAATATAAACTATTATATACCTATGGCAGAGAGAGAGAGGGAGACACAGAATCCGAAGCAGACTCCAGGCTCCGAGCTGTCAGCACAGAGCCCGACGCGGGGCTTGAACCCACGAACCACAAGATCATGACCTGAGCCGAAATCGGACGCTCAACCGACTGAGCCACCCGGGCACCCCTGAAATACTTAAGTTTTTATTTAAATATTGAAATGCTATGACGTCTTGGATTTGTTTTAATAGACAAATATGTCTATTTGTTTAATAGACAAGACAATAATGTGGAAGAAGAAATGAATCAATACTGGGTACCTGTTAATAATTGTTAAAGCTGGGTGATGGGTACGTGTTCTAGAAAGTGAGCAGTGCTGTGTACCTTTTAGCGGTTAGGAACTATCACTCTGCCTGGGCAGCAGGACATGCAAAGCTACAGTTCTCCAGGTCTGTCCGACTCCATCATGCTCTACAGTCTCTTTAGGGCTGTCCTGTCTCTCTCAGAGTGGATGTACCCGTCAGGACCTCTTTCCGTTGTAAGTGTCAGAAATCCGACTCAGACTTATTGGCTTATGTGGAGAAAGGAACCTATGCCTTACGTGACAGAAAGGTTAAGGGGTTCAGGCACAGCTCGATCCAGGTACTCCAATGACGCCAAGAACATGTTAGTCTTCATATCTTGCTTCTGGAGGTGTCTGTGTGGGCTGATTCGGGCCAGCTTTTCCTATACGGTGACAAGATGGTCACTACTAGTGCCGGGCTTATAGCCTATGGGCTTACTGACCCCCAGTGGAAAGTGGGCTCTTTTTGCCAGCAGCTCCAACGCGTCTGCTTCTGATCACATGGCCTTGAATCCAGCGGCCCTCCCTGAACCAATCAGAAAAGATTGGTTTGACTGGGGAGCTGTGGCCCTGTGCCCACCTCGGACCCCCTCTTGAAGTTTAGAGACTGCCAGTGTGGAAAGGTTGGTTCCCCGAAGGAAAAGGACGCTAAGAGGCTGGGCCAGAAGCACGCCACAGTCACACTGTCCCAACGCCCCTCTCAGGGAGCCGTCTGCCCCTCCTTAGGTACACGAGGAGCCTCGCGGCAGGGCCTTCACCACCCACCACTGGACTGCCTCTCGGACTTGCGTTCCCCGGACACCTGCTTCCCCGTAGCCGGTGCCACTGGCCTCACATCTGTCATCTGCAGCAGCCCCATACCTGTCCGTCCCACCACACGCCGCACACCTGCTGGGATGTGCAAGCGGCATCTGCGGTTCCCAGCCTGTCCCTCTGTAGGCCTGTCAGGCTCTCGCTTCCGGGGGGCATGGTTTTCAGGCCTCTGGCCAGTCCACTTGTCTCCTGCCGGGAAGCGGGGCACTCCAGGGCCGAAGGCAAAGGGTGCCTGGGTCCTCCGTAAAAGGGAGGTGGTATCTGTGTTATAGGGATGAAACGATTTCCTCAGGATGGATGGATGGGTTTCCTATGCTAAGGATGTAACATATTTATAGTGTTGAGACAGCGCCCGGCACACAGTAGGCGCACAGTAAATGCTGGCTGTTATTCTCATCACTTCGGGTGGAGACGACCCGTTGCAGTCCCCGAGCATCCCCGTCCAGTCCGGTCCAGGCCGGTCCAGTGGCAGGCTCTCAGGTACAACACCACCCATAGGTTTCTACAATTTAATAATGTGTAGAACACTTTTACGAGTTTTGTCTCATTGGAGCCTTACACCTTTGTGAAGAGGGCAGGTCACACGGTCTTTGTCCCCCATTTGCAGACGGAGAAACTGAGGTTGTCAGAGGTCAGACCTCATGCCCGAGATCGTGCCGCCAGTCCGTGGTGGAGGTGGGATTTGACCCCGTCCCTCGAGGAATCACATCACTGGGCCTTTGCTCGGCTGCCCCTCAGCCCACAAGGCCTCCTCCAGTCATGCCTCTTGGCCCCCCTCCCACCTTCTCAGGCCCAGCCCGGTGCCCTGAAAATAGTAAAAATGATAAGAGCCCACACTTCTTAAGCACTTGTATCTCTCCGGACGAAGTGCATAAGGCTTTGCTTTCCCCATAACCTCTTGAGCTGGGTATGAGTCTTACAGAGGGGAGAAACTGGGGCTGAAGGAAGTGAAATAAGCCTGCCCGGGATCACTCAGCAGGGGCAGCCAGGAGCCCAACTCAGAGAGCAGTCTGACTCTGGGGAAGGCCTCTCGTACCCTCTGCAGCCTCCATGATCCCTTCTCTGAGTCCAAGGATGACAGTGGACTCCCCCTTCCTCTTGAGCAGAAAGTCGGGCTTCTTCCTCTGCTTAGCATCCTTGGAGCCGTCGTTCGTTCGCTCCCCTCCCTCCAACAGGCTGAGAGCTCTCTGCGGGGCAGGAACCTGACCCTCCCTGACTCATTCACCTCTGCAACCCCGGGCACGAAGAAGCCTCCGTGATGCCAGAGTATCTCATTCGTTCTCCGCGAGGCAGGCGGGGCGGAGGCGCTCCCGGATGAAGACACGAGATGTGAGAGGTGGTGACCCTCCCGAGGCCACCGTTTGTAAGTGCAGGAGCTTGGACGAGCCCCTCCCCCTCCATTCCTTGTCTGGCGGGGGCGGGGGTG